TTAGAAAAAAAAAACTGGTGTCAGCTTACTATGATCATAAAGGGAGGGGGGGAGAGAGAGAGGGGGAGGGGGAGGGGGAGGGGGGGGAATAATGAGTTCTCTCTTACTTTAAAAAAGTAAAATGACGCAGAGCTTTTGTTCAGAAAAACAAACCAACAAATATTCACTGACCAGTTCTACCTGGAACTGCATCAGGTCTGAGTGGGTTGAAAAAAAAAAACAAATTTCACCACAAGTTTCTCACTAATTCCCAGCACACACTGATCTACAGTAGCCCATAGGGGGCAGTAATGCACATGAAGTTTGTTTGCAAGCAAAAAAAAAAAAAAACTTAGAAAAAAAAAACTGGTGTCAGCTTAACTATGATCATGACGCCGACACCCCAGAGCTAACGTTAGCTAAAACAGTCCTGGTACAGACACCGGAGCTAACGTTAGCTACAAAAGTCCTGGTACAGACACCAAAGCTAACGTTAGCTACAACCGTCCTGGTACAGACACCAGAGCCCCCGTTACCTACAACAGTCCTGGTACAGACACCGGAGCTAACGTTAGCTACAAAAGTCCTGGTACAGACACCAGAGTTAACGTTAGCTACGACAGTCCTGGTACAGACACCAGAGTTAACGTTAGCTACGACAGTCCTGGTACAGACACCGGAGCTAACGTTAGCTACAAAAGTCCTGGTACAGACACCAGAGTTAACGTTAGCTACGACAGTCCTGGTACAGACACCGGAGCTAACGTTAGCTACAACCGTCCTGGTACAGACACCAGAGCCCCCGTTACCTACAACAGTCCTGGTACAGACACCGGAGCTAACGTTAGCTACAAAAGTCCTGGTACAGACACCAGAGTTAACGTTAGCTACTACAGTCCTGGTACAGACACCGGAGCTAACGTTAGCTACAACCGTCCTGGTACAGACACCAGAGTTAACGTTAGCTACGACAGTCCTGGTACAGACACCGGAGCTAACGTTAGCTACAACCGTCCTGGTACAGACACCAGAGTTAACGTTAGCTACTACAGTCCTGGTACAGACACTAGAGCTAACGTTATCTTTCTGCTCAGTTATCGTTCCTGCCATCAACCCCAGGCTGCAGTAACCAGCCTGGACTCTAGGGCAGTTAGAGTCTTTGACAGAAGAATGAAATTGTCAGTTCAAATATACACTTTATGAATCATATTCTGGAGGAAAAGGTCGATCGAACGCAGCTACGACTGCTTTATTTGATTTGTCCACTGGGGGGAGTTCTGACTGACTCTGCACTTTTCAAAGACTTTGTATCAAGAATCTGAGTGGAACCAAAAAATAAAAAGTTCTGAATCTCTGAACAGACATTTGTTTTTCTCCCCCTGAAACAGAAAAACTGAATATCTTTATAGATATATGTATACATAGATATATGTATACATATATATACATATATGTCCATATATATACATATATGTCCATATATATACATATATATACATGTATATGTACATATATGCATATACATATATGTATATGTACATATATATGTATACATATATGTGTATATATATGTATATGTACATATGTACATATATGTATATGTACATATATATACATGTATATGTATATACATATACATATATATACATGTATATGTATATATGTATACATATATGTGTATATATATGTATACATATATATATATATGTATACATATATACATATACATATACATATATATACATGTATATGTACATATATATACATGTATATGTATATATGTATACATATATATATATATGTATACATATATATGTATATATTTATACCCTGATCCCGTCAAACCGTTTCTCAAACCTTTCGTGAATCATCGACTGTTTCACGTCTTTATTTCCAGATTCGTCGTCGTGTCATGTTTTCTTTATTCTCACCCCTTCTCCTCCCTCCTTCTCCCCCTCTCAGAATCCCCTCCACTTTCAGATGGCCATGAGGACCGTGGAGGCCCCGCCCTCGCGCCTCCTCTACTCCCTCCTGATGATGAACGGCTGGTGGGACATCAGCGTCCTCCTCTGTCACGACTGGGACATCAGCCACTTCCTGCTCCTCGTCAGAAACAACTCCAGATTTCACCTGGGCGCTTTGGTCAACCTCACGACTGCAGCTTTATCTGCGTCTCTGTCGCCACAGGGTGGCGCCGAGGAGTTGTCTTTACTGCCCAGTTTTCCGCCCGCGGCCTTTTCTCCTGCGTCTCCTTCGTCCACTCCTTCCTCCAGATCGGATCAACACCTGGCTCTGATGAGGGAGTTGGAGGCGCTGAGAGAACATTCCACCACCAGGGGGCTGCTGATGTTTGGGTGCGATATCCGGGAAGTACGCCGCCTCTGGACGATCGCCAGTCGGATGTCGCTCCCAGAATTCCACTGGATCTTAGGGGACAGCCAGAACGTGGCTGAACTGAGAACGGAGGGTTTGCCCCTGGGGCTTCTGGCCCACGGGGTCATGAGTTCACCGTCTGTGGATAACTACGTCCATGACTCACTGGAGCTGGTGGCCCGGGCGGTGGGGAGCGCCGCCCTGGAGGATCCTGCCTTAGCGCTCATTCCGGGGACGAATAATTGTATGGATGTACAGGAAAACAACGGAACCTCTGGAGAATATCTGTCCAGGTAAGGGACCACGACCCTCAGTTTGTTTTTGACAGGATTGTTTTCCTCTTCTTTGGTTTGTTTCCCGTTGGTCTCCATGTTCATCCGACACAGTGAACTATTCTAGAAATAAAAATGTCTCCAGGACATTTCACAAATTTAATCATTGTTTACATTAGATACAAATTAAATACAGAGAAAAAAAAACTTGGTAGAAATAGGACAAAGAGTCAAAGAGGAAAAAAAAACCAAGACTAAAAGGGGGTGTCAATGTGAGATTCAACCAGCAGGTGTCACTAAAGATTGATCTGATATCAGTCAGATTTTAGGATCGATTCATCAACAAACCAAACCAAACCACCGTGATTCTTCTCTTCTCTCACGTTCTTCACTTGTCTTTGATGAAAACTCTCAGTTTCAAACCAGCGTTGACTCCGTTGACCCTCAGACTCAGATTTCCTCCTCATCTACATCAACATTTGCATGTGTCATGTATCTGAGAGCACTTTATAAAGTCAACGGGTCAGAAATGAGTCTGAGCTCAGAGCAGAAAGTCCAGAAAAAAAACTGAAGATGGAACTTCATCATCAGGACGGAAAAAAGGCACGGATGTACAGATGGATGGATGGATGGATGGACGGATGGATGTACAGATGGATGTACAGATGGATGGATGTACAGATGGATGGATGGATGGATGGATGGATG